AAACTAGAATAAGACTTTTTATTAATTCTCTTGAAATCTTTTTTTTAAAGTTATATGTACATATAAAAACTCTTTATTTTTGGATTAATAATTGGTTTGATATTAATTTTATATTATATTATTATTTGTAATAAAGTCCTTTTTTTTAAACTTTTTTTTTCAAAAGTTTTAAAGTTATTTAATAATTAATTGTTATTAAATCGATTTTTTTTATAGTTTTATTAATTTTCATAGTAATAAGTTAGTGTTATAGTATTTATATTCTTATTTTATAAAATTTAATTTCTTTATAGTTTTAAAAGAGTGATGTTGTAGTATAAGAGTGTCAAAAACTAATTCAATTTATATTCGAATTCTTAAAAATTTTGAAAATCTTAAAAATTCAAAAAAAAAATCAATTTGCTTTTAGTAGGGTAATGATTTATATTTGATAATGAAATAATAATTTATATTCGATAGAATTTTGTTTTCCTTTTTTTTAGCTTTTATTCTTAAAAATATAATATATAAAATTAGAATTTAATAGTGGTTTGTGGGTGAATGACATTTTAAAATTTGAAAATCCTAAAAAATAATAGAACTTTATAAACTAGTTGGGTTAATATTCTTAAAATCTGAAAATTCTAAAACTCTTTAAATCTAAAAATCTTAAAACTTTAATATAGGAAAACTTTTCAAAACGATGGAATTTTGTTAGCTTTTTAACCAATTCTTGAAAATATATAAAATTTATGAAATTAGAAATAAACAGTATTTTTGATATTATATAGTATTTAAAATCCTAAAAATAATAAAAATCCGGAATGTTTGAAGGAGGTTTAATATTCCGAAAGTTCTGGAAAAGTCTAAAAATTCTGAAAATCTTGAAAATAATGGAGTTTTACAAGCTTTTTATTAAATCCTCAAATTCTAAAGAAAATTTGGAAAAAGGTTTAAAATCCTAAATGTTCTGGAAAAACCTAAAAGTTTCAAAAATAACTTATTTGTATTTATTTATTAGGGTAAAACAATTCTAGTAAAGCATCATTTTGTTTTTGATTAAATATCAACTATTTAATATATCTTTTATTAATATATAAGCTATTTAATCTATATTTATTTATTAAAACAAAATAATTCTAGTGAATATTGTTTTTGTTTTTAATTAAAATACAAGCTATTCAATATAATATCAACTATTTATAATTAGCTTTAATCAGTGATTTTGATTAATTACAAAACAGCTAATTAAATCCTTTTTTTTTATATAACATTATACCAAAACTCTATTTTTTTGATAAAAAATTTATAAAATAGTAAAGTTTTGTTAATTTTTTGTTGAATTCTTAAAATTTAAAGAAAATTCTAATAAAAGGTTTAAGGTATTAAACAAATATTATTATCATTTTTGATAATATAAAATAAATGTATTATTAATATTTTATGGGTATAAAATAAAATTTATAATTATTTTGTAAAAAAGATTTTCTTTTTTTTTCTATGTTTTTTTTTTATTTAATTATTCTATTTTATTTTGAAAGGGTATTGATAGTATATTATAGAAAAAGATATATTATGAAGGTGCTTTAGGTATTTTAAAAAATTTGTATTGAAAATCTTGATTTAAATAATATTAATTGTATGTTGTTAGTATATTGTAAATATATTGTAAGCATATTATAGTCTAATCGAGGTTTGAAGTTTTTAAAGCTTTTAAAATTATTTTCAAAAAAATTAGTTAATGGTTTATTTTAAAAAGATTAAATAAAAAGAATCATTAGAATTAATATAAGATAATGATTAGTATAGAATATAGATAAAAAACTAGAATAAAACTTTTTATTAATTTCTTCAAAATCTTTTTCCTAAAGCTATATATATATGAAAACTCTTTGCTTCCGGACTAATAGTCAGCTCGATATTGATTCTATATCGTATCAATACCCGTAATAATAAAAGAATCTATAATCTTCTAAATCAGTTATTATATTCATAGCACCTGAAGCCTTATTTTTTGAAAAAGTAAAAAGTAGAATAAAAATAATAAAAACATAGGGATAAACAATTGAAATAAGGAATTCACCCTTTTTATTTAAAACTATTATAATTATTAATCTCAAAATAAAACTTAGAATAATAATATTCAATATAAACAAATTACTCTATAATCCAAGAAATCAATTAAATAATTTTATAAAAAAATAAGGGATAATTAATAACAATTTTATAAAAATCTATAAAGTATTTTATAAGATTACCTATTCAACTTAGTTTTTTTATAATAAATAGAAATAAAATTTTTATTAACTCTAATTTTTTAATATCATTTCATTTATTTTTCTTTTATAAAAAAACCTTTATACTCTTAATATAATATTTGTTTTAATAAATTAATATAATTTTGATATTCTATTTCTTTAAATTATTAATAAAAATAATTAATTAAAAGATTTAGGTTTGATATATTAAATTGATATTGGAAATATATTATAAAGATATTAGTTAGTAAATCTTTTCTTGAATATAGCAATAGCTATATTATCACGGAGGTAATAGCTAGGTCTAATGGTTACTTTGATTAGGAGGTAGGTATATAGAGTGATAATAAACTAGATTGACTTAAGGTATAATTATAAGGAATTATATTTTGTTTATATATTCTGATTGGGCGAGGTATTTGTTTAATTAGGTATATAAAGCATACAAATGAAATGAATAAAATAGTTTTAGTAATTATAGGAGTGAGTACTCCGAAGGAGTACTGGGATTAGTACCGTAAGGTTATACTATACGGTGAATTCCGTGATATATATTTAATATAAGGATTTTTATTATAATAATAAAAATCTTTAGGGGTAAAGATTATAATATATTTAAAATAATAAAGATATATAGAAATAATCAATCTAATAGAACCTATTACAGATTAAATTATAATTATTTAGAGATTAATAGATTGAAAAATAATTATAATAAAATAAGGATTAATAAAAGATTAATAAAGGATAATTTATTAAAAGAAAAAAGAATTTAGGAAATTAAAAAAACTTATAAAGCTTTTAATAATTTATTAATAAGAGTAATAAGCATATTAAAATATTATTTATTAATTATTTATAACTTTATAATATTCTTATTTTCTTTTAGAATATAATCTGAATATAATTATTTAATACTCCATTTTCTTATATCATACAAACCAAATTTAAAAAATAAATATATATATCTCGAAATGCAATATATAATATAAAGAGCTCTATCACAATCAATCTAAATAAAAACTAACAAGAGTATATAAATAATTCCTATAAAGCTACTTTAGATCAATACTAACCTATACACAATTATAAATTATAGAATTTTAATAGTTTGAAGGAATTAATGAAAAGTCTTTATACTACATTACACCTAGTTAATTCATTATTATTATCTACTCTAATATATATTATATTAAAAGCTATATATAATCCAGTTGACTATATCAATCAAGATTATTATATAATACGCCTAATGCGTTTAGCCTGCTTTCTGTACCCGATTTATCTATTTTTAAGTTATTTTATAATTAAATAATATATTTATAAAGTAAATATAAAATAAGATTCGTAAGTACTAGATTGATACATATATTAATTCATTAGAGTATATTACTTATAATATTGATATTAACTTTATTAAAAAAGCATTTCAATAATATACTATATTAATATCTATTCAGATAAAAATAATCCTTTTAAAAATACGTTATTTAATTAATATTATTAGAAGATTTTAAATACTATTATATAGATCTTATAAAATTATTCATAAAAAGATTTATAAATTCAATATTCATAAAATAATTATACTTTAAATAGCTATAAAAGCAATTAATAATATTATTAAATCTAATGGTTTAATATTTACTTTACTTATTTTTAATATATTTCCCCATATAATCAATATCAATTCTTTAATATCTATTATTAAATAATATACTACTACAATCTCTAAAGTTATAATAAAAATTCATAAATTATATAATTCTATATAGATACAAAAGGTTTTAAATTTTATAATTTATTATCAAATAATAAGATTTTAATTTTTAAAAAAAGCAATAAAACAATTACTAATAAATAAAAGGGATCTTTTTTATTGATTGATATAAAAGGAAAAACATATTTTTTTAATTTATTTTATAAATCTATAAGATTTAGATCTATATCAATAAAACTATATTATAAATATTTAAAAACTAGATATATTAAGGAAATTAAAGAAATTGATTATAATATTAATTTCAAAATAACTTTATCAAATTCTAGTAAAGTTGTATTTTTTTAAACAAAATAGTGATTTTATATATAACGAATTTAAAAAAAACGCTTTTTAAATTTATTTAAAAATAATCAGATATTTTTATCAATATCTTTTTTGTAAGTAGTTATATCTTAAATTCGAGCTTATATACAAAATTATTATTCTGATTGTTTTGTTATTAATCTCAAGAATCCAATTATATATAAAGAATCCAGGAAGAAAGAGATTAATAAATTAATAATTAAAAATATATTCGAAATTATATTATTTTTGGATATTCCTTTTGGTATATACATATTTAAATTGTGATTTATTAATTAAATCAAGAATAAAGAAATAAGTATTTCTTAATATAGTTATTAATATTCTTACTTGATATACAGATCACTTTCGGAGCTTATTTAATATACTCAAGAAGAGATAATAATTCAAATATATAATATATCAAAATCTACTTTAAATTATTATGTTTATTATCAAAAACCAAAAAAATTGTATTCTAAATAATTTTTCAAAAAAAGAATGATGTAATAAGTATAAAACTTTAAATGTATATTTTAGTTTTTCTATATAAAATTATTTTTATAAATAAATTTATAAATATCTTTTAATATATAAAGTTATATATTCTAAGAGTTTTCACAATCATTCACTATATATAAAAAATCAAATCATTAAAGAGCAAATTTTTTAAAATTTTCGAAAGTAAGAAAAGTAATCTACTCTTCTTTTGATGCTCTCTTTTCTCCACGAATAGCAAGTACGAACTGAATCACTCCGCTTATTCTATATTTTGTTAGCTCTATATTATATTTATAGTATATGTAGTAGAAATAGACTTACGCTAACCATATTAAATTAACCCACTTTAATATAAGCATGCCTCGTCCTAATAAGCCCTTCAAGAAAAATCCATCCCATCTATTATACTATAATTAGCTAAAAGAAAAACTATATATAAAACATCGATTAGTAGATTTGTATTATACTTACTTGGTTTTCCGAATCTTATCCTCCTCTACCCATCTAGCTCGAGAGTCATGAATGCTATAAAGATTTAGTATCAGTATATATTATTATTTCTAGATTATAGAATTTACATACTATCGTTCCATTTCATCTAGACTATTATAGTTATTAGTAAACATTCTAGTATGAATGAAAATTTAAAAACTTACTTATTTCTCATTCGACGCAAATTATATGTACTAGAAGAATAAATTAATAAAGTAATATAAATAAATATATAATAACGATTTAACCTACTTTCTCTCCGATATCGCGAGTTGTTGTTTCCTATTAATTAAATTAGATTTATACTAGTAAAATCTTTCTATAAGATTTTACTAACAAATCATTGATTTCACGATCTCTAGAAGAATAAAACATTAATATCTGTACTATTTTGAATCTTTTCTTAAAAATTTACTAACTTCTGTTCCAATACACTTTCTCTGAGATGTCATTCAAAATTAGTTTCTCATCTTAGTGAAAATATATCACTGCCTAGGTAAATATACTAACAGCTTATGCTTTTCATCTTCTCTAAGTATAAGTTAGTTCTGTTAAGTTTCATGAGTGAGAGCTTCAGGAAATAAGCCTGATTCAGAATAAAAAAAGTTAAATCATATCGATTGATCCTAATATATTCCAGGACTTAGAGTCCACCGCTAGGTTATAGTAGGATAGTTTAACATTGAATGATAGCAATGAGAGATCGAATGAAGTATTATAGAACACATGATTTATCTTCTTCTCTTCTTACTAAGAAGAGAATAGATACAGCTTCTTTGAAGCTTAATCAGGCAGATTGGGTCAAGCCGTCTCCAGAATCGACGTGATATGGTAATTTCCGCCACAAATAGGACAGGAGGAGGTTACTTGAACACCATAAAAATGTTGAGAGCCAAACAATAACTAATATTGAATGAGCATTAAGAAGAACGAAGGTCTAAATTAAATTTATGCATGTTGTTGATTTGGCAAATTAGGAACGCAAAGAGCTAGGTAGCCAGTGCATTACTTGCCAGGATAACGATACTTATAGCGTCCAAGACATGGGTTGTGGGCTTGAGATGATCAGATCAGGAAATCAGAGACAAAAAGTCAATTAAGCCAGATATAGAGGACGAGTATTGTCTTCAATGTCATCAACATAGATTGTGATATAAAAAGTTTTGAATACTTACGCCGTGCTTAATTTAGATGATCTAACCGTTCATTAATATGTAAGCTTTCAACAATCCAGACTAGACATAAGGAAAACTTACACATCATCTAAACGTCTTTCGCTAGAGACAAATCAGTCTAAGTGTACATTTATTGATAGTGGGTGAAGAAAACTCACTATCTGCCCAATTCTTCTCTTCTACATTGAATCAACTTTGAATGTTACATATAATTCGGATGTTTGAAAACTTACAAGCCACCAATCTGGTGATTACTACAACACAAAATCAGTATCGAAGACTTTTAGATAAATAATACAACAAATGCTTACAATTTCTTCTCCACCTCACGCCAATCTCTCCTATATTTCCCGTCAATGACGGGATCTAAAGAAGTCAAGATTTATAGAGAGACTAACTTTCCTGCCTGGAATTCATTTTCCCTAACACGTTCTTAGAATATGTTTTATTGGTCGATTCAATATTGAATATAATACTTACAGGTCTTCATATCTTTCATCACTGAATGCAAGTTAACACAAAACTCAAAGCTATCAATGTCAATTAAAAGACTCACTTCTCACGCTCTCTTTCTGCTGCAGCAACGTACTCCCTAATACTCTTAGTATGCCTATAGAAGATTATCAGGCTGGTATATGGTGAAGCTTACTCGACGGAGACACGGTGATCAGAGGGTTGGGTCCTTTGAAATGGTTCATTAGTTGATGTACCCAATGGAATCAAGACGAAAATGAGAACTTACCCTCTGCGCTTCTGGTGCGGGGTTTGATCTTTTTTCAAAGTTCAAACATCAGTATATATCACTGGAGAGATAGAGATGGGCAGATTATCCAATCTATCACATACCAGCAGCGTTCGACATTTTTGCTTACCGTGAAAAGGAAAAGAATTTTGAGAGCGTTTTTATCATTACATTCAAGAATGTTCTTGAGAAAATTCAGATGTGAGCTTACCCGTGATAGATTTGGTGTTGATTTCAAAATGGAAAGCGATCTCAAAGCGCCTGCCTTGTCATCCCCAAGCGTTACTTCCTCTTTCACCCGCGAAAAAGAAATCACCCAATTCAACGCATGGACTGATTATGAACATTGTGATAACTCACAATACGATGAACTCAGATTTCTTCCTCTGCTGTTCATTACGTTGGCAACTTATCAAAAATTTCCATATGGTGGCCAATATTCACGAAAATTTCAAAGAATTCATATTTACAATTGCAAAGAAAAAACTTCTCAGATTGGTTTTACTACAAAACATGTCACGGTGAGATGGATATAAAGAGTCAAGATCTCGTCTGAATTGGTTTAGGAAGTTCTCATTTTTGAGAACCGATGCAAGCTACGTGTGCAGCGTATCGTTGCAGTCTTTTTCATTTTTATCAAAAGATTTCTTGACTTTAAAACGAAAGAATTAAACTGGAACATTGAGAATCTGTGGTTGATTAATTAGTATATGCTAATCCAATATTTCCAACTAGTCATGATCCACTTCCTAATCATCGATGGCTCCAATTTACCACCTTTCATCCTAAACATTTCATCTACAGTCCGCTCCTTGCTTCTCCAATATTTTCTCATAGTCTCAGTCAGCAACTTTCTGGAGGTGATTGTTCGTCCTTGGTAATTGAGGGTTGTATTCGCATCTGCCCCATTGTCTAGCATGAGTTTGACAATTGCCAAATGGTTTGAGACCAAAAATTTCTCCTCCTCGGAAAATTGCTGATTTTCACTTTCTTCCGTGTCCACCGGCGGTAGGATTGCGCAAACATTACGGACGGCTATCTCAAATGCAGTCCATTCACAAAGAGCTGGAAAGTCTTTTAGCTTTTTGTTAGGCTGCGCTCCATGTTCCAACAGTAATCCTATCATGCGATTACTAGGAGGAAATCGATCTCGCCGATAATCCGAGTTTTCCATCTGCTCCATGCCATGCACATAGTATTCATCTGTTCCCGCAAGCGCATATGCTAACAAGTTGTGAGCAACAATTCCTTTCGTTTCGGAGGCGAGTCTCTCTAAAATAACTCTGACGTATGCACAAAGATCCCATTTGGTCGCGATGTGTAGAAAAGAAGAGAACTTCGCCGGTGCCCAAATGATTCTTTTGGACCTCGCACTGTGCGTCAATGCCGCAAATGTATCCAATGGTTCAACGTAAGCATTTGATCCCGCAATTTCAGCATCGTGGGCGTAGTTGAGGACTGTTGCCACAAATAAAGGAAGGCCCGAAGGCTGGGTTAAAATGTTTTTCCGAGGTTTGGAGATCTGAAGTTCTTTTATGTATGAGCACATAAGGGCAGTGTGGGGCTCAAAGCCTCTTCCATTGCTATGTTTCATGAATTTTTGATGTATATCTGAACGTTCTAAATATTCTCGGACGCTGCGATGCAAATAAGTGACGCGATATCCAAGATATTCAAATCCTGGGGAGTATTTCGGTCCGGTCTCGAGCAATCCTGCACATCTCACTTTTAGATGATCACTAATCTCTTTGTTTCTCAGCTCCAGGTCCTGAAAGTTGAATTTGATATCTGCGAAACGACTGGTGCCGTAATCAAGAGCAAAGGACAGAATCAGTGTGTCCAATGATTTAACGCTCCTCTGATGTACATTTGCCGCTTGGACAATGAGAAAAATTGATGCAGCTTTCTTACTATAGAAGGGCTCAATCTTTCCAAGCATCGAGGAGAAAAGTTCCTCTAGATCTTGCGGCAATATTTCCATACGTTCCTGCAAATCTTGCAGGCTATCTCTATTGTCGAGACCTCTTACAATCTCCTGTAATACAAGCCTAACCCACAAGAAAACCCCATCTGCTCGCGATACAATATTTCTGATGAGATTTAATGCTTGAACAGGCTGTTCTACGCATAAGCGTCGATAGTTAACATTCTCTTGGAGACTCGACTTGACATAATGGTTGATATCGATACATGTTAGATCTTGCAGCCGCAATGATGGTCCAGATCCAAAAGCATCATCGAATCCAAGTAAAGGACGACTGGAGACGCAAATTTTTAGCCACGGTACCTGAGCGAGCATACTAAAGTATTTGGTTATAGCTGAAGGTTCCCCTTCATATTCGTCAAGACCGTCAACGAACAAACAAAGTTTGAAGTGCTGTACGCTTTGGCTTACGAGGCTCCGCATTGCGGCCTGCAATTCGGTTAAACTCCAGTACTCCATTTCCATCGGATGAACCTTTTGGTGTGCTTCAGAGAACGGTCTAACCGAATCAGTGTAGGTTTTGGCCCATCTTTGGGGAAAACAGACAGGAATAAGATCAGGAAGATGTCCCAGAATTTGGGAAAGAAGAGCTCGAAGAAGACCGCTTAGAGACCTCTGTACAAGAGTCCCACTGTTCCAAAAATAAAACCTGGCCATAACAATGGGTAAAGGAGCAGACCATTTTTCTAAAAGTACTTTCGTTTTACTGTGATCATATATGAATCTCATCAGTGTTGACTTGCCCGAAGCAGCTTTTCCATTGATCCAATAAATACTGGACCCATGTTCTAACCAATGAACAAAACTAGGCCACGGCGTAGATTCATGGCTATCATTGAATAACCACTCAAATGTTCCTCGATATACATCCGCGATAGTTTCTTCTCGTTCTTTCAATGCTGGGAACTTTAAATTTTGGACAAGGTATTGAGCAATCTGCAAGCGGAGTGCTTTTTCGTGCCACTCATGGTTGTGCAGAACCTGATTCTGAGATGTTTGTTCTTCGGCGAGTATCAAACTTTGGCTCCTAATACATAGGCAAATGAGCGAATGTTTTGAACGACTCGCGGGTCGAGAGGCTTTAGTTGACAGACAACAATCTGGACTGTTGAAAGTATGGCTTGGGATTGAATAATGCGAATTGAAAAAAAAACACCAAATAAACTCACTGATTTACTTCAATCTTGTCAATCTGCTGCACAATACCTGATGGAAATGTGTGCTTCTCAGCCAGAATTTCAATTCTGCCGAGTAACTGAGTAATTGCTATCGTTTGATCTTGGATCCCTTTGCTGACTTCATCCTGATGTGTGAGAAGGGCAGTAATAATAGTCTTCGTACTATAGTCGAGGTGATCGAAGCGAACTTCTTGATTTGATGATATCGAATCGAGCTGATCTCTTCTGCTCGTCATTTTCTATTGATAGAGGACTTCATTGAGTTACTTACCGAAGATCCACGACGATGTGCATCTGAATAGAATCTCTCAGTAATGCCAGTCGATTCGTTAAAGCCGTCAAGTCCTTCTCAGTCCACACAGACTTCAGCGCTTGCTTAACAGTTTCCCATTTCCTACGCTTGCCAGTGGCTGTCAATTTTAAACTGTTTAGCTTATTACTGAGTTCAATGGACAATTCTGATGCATCTCTGCATATGAACATAAATGCGTCATCTGATGGTGTAGAAACGACTCCCATCCCAGATAAGCCCCAGTATGAATCCGAGAGCCTCTTGGACATCTTAGTTAGATCATCCACCACAAGACCCAATTGTTGGTGAACGGCCAAAGCTTCCGCGCCCGATTTGTATAGTTCATTAGTACCAGCCAACACCTTCGAGCTGAAATCCACGAATTGAATAATGGTTCCTGCCAATGACAACGCGTCTAATGGGTTCATCATTGTGATGACGAAGAACAGATATTGAACTAGTGATGGGAATTTTAAAAAGAAGTGGAGGTTCAGCTACAGGTACCACGACATCAATGTCGTAACAAGGCTGCGGAATTTGACCCCCATGACATGTTCCACGAAAGTCATCATTTTCATCGGCCAATGAAGCCCCGGCTAATAACGAAAGATACCAAAATGCCCAGGATGGAATTCCATCGTTTTGTTTACAGATATATAGCAAACATAAACTAGGTATCCAGCAATATCATTTTTAATGAGAACCTGTCATAAATCGTTTCTCAAGGACCCTCTTGTCGTTAAGATTTATGAGTCTGTGAGTTTACCTGCCCGCAAGTGTAACACTGCGCTAGTCCTGATTGGGCGCAGTTTTTCCCGCTAGCGCCCGCTTTACCTCCCCAGCCCCTTACCCCCACGTTCGTCGCTCCGTTATTCCAATTCCTTTCTACTTTCAAGACTATCGTCAGCCAGCCGACTTGAGAAATTTTTGGCGAACAGCAATCATAAAGCGGGCTCCTTCGTAAGTATTGGTTTCTGCTCAACATGATCAAACACTGATAGAGCAAAGAGAAATTCAAAACCACTAAAACACAAAAATGGCATCAGTATATAAGATTGCGTTGGTGCAGCTCTGCCCGAAGGTTCGTTGGCATTCATGTTTTTAACTGCTTTGGCAATGATCTGTCAGTGATGGATCTTTATCACAATGACACCACTTAGAGACCGTTAGAGGCGTTTCCGTCCTTTATTTTCTCACTGTTTGAGCTTAGCCAGTCAAGATAGGTTTCAACGTGGGGGTTCTGGCTTTCGGTCATCATTCCTATATAATTCTTCTCAGCAGTTTTGATACAAAAAGAGCGATCTGGTTCCAAAATACTAGCTTTTGCTTCTTTCTTTTCCTGTCATTGATTGCTCTTCGTATGTGATATTCACAACATACGATGCTCACGATTTTCTAAGTTATTGAAAGAATTCGAGCTCATATTTTTCTACTAGCCTCTAGCTATTGATTACAATTATAAAAAAGCAGTAGAATTTATCAGAGAAGCCGCTTCCAATGGCTGCGACCTTGTCGTTCTGCCTGAATATCACCTTACGTCATGGGTTCCAGATGAACCTGAATTCCTGCCACTGTGTCACCACGACATCACATCTAAATATCTCTCTGGCTATCAGTCTCTCGCTTCCGAACTCAAAATATCTATAGTGCCAGGAACTATCTGCACTTTACACCCCGAGACTTCTAATCTCCACAACACGGCTCACTTCATTTCCCCTGAGGGCAAAATACTTTCCTCCTATACCAAGAAAAATCTCTGGCATCCTGAGCGTCCACATCTAACCTCGTCTACGAATGATCCACATACTACTTTCGATACTCCTCTTGGGAAAGCCGGTATGCTTATTTGCTGGGATGCCGCATTTCCTGAAGCATTCCGAGAGCTCATCTCTCAAGGCGCGAAGCTCATCATCATCCCAACCTTCTGGACTCTCAGCGACTGTACCCCTGCAGGGTTGGCACGAAATTCGCTCTCTGAAGAATTGTTCGTTCAATCTACACTAGTATCTAGAGCCTTTGAAAATACGTGTGGAATCATATTCTGCAACGCTGGAGCACCTGTAGGAAAAGGGAAAGAGAATTCTGGATTTTTGGGAATCAGCCAGGTCACCGTACCATTCCAAGGAGCTCTAGGCAAAATGGGAAGAGAAGAAGGAATGAATGTGGTAGAACTAGACATGCAAATCTTAGAAGACGCGGAAGAAGCTTACAAGGTACGCATGGATATTGGACGAGATGATTGGCATTATGCACATACATTGAGAAGGGGAAATAGCAATGAGGAAAGTAAGTTGTGAGGAACGAGATTCGATTCGGTCGTACCTTTGCTATCAAATCATTTGTCGATATATCAGATCATTTCAATGTCTCAAAGCAGCTCATATGGTTCTGGGCATTTCGTGGATTTCGTGTGGAAGAGAGAGATACAACCAACATTAAAATGTGAGGTAGTCTTTCGACCATATAGACGAAACCGAGGAAGATCCAGTAACTCGCTCGGCCTGCTGAATGTAGCTTTAGTATGTCAATAGTTACCTACTAGGTAGTTACTGATATTATTGATAATTCTTTTTAAACATTGACCGACCATGATACTGATGTTTGAAATGTTAAGTACCGAAAAATTAGATGAAGGTCACAGCCGAAATCGACGAAACAAACATTTGGCTCCCGCTGAACTATCATGTACTTGATATATTCTCGGTGTGCATTCAAACGTGGATGATGCCTTCGGATGAGATGTTTGTCGGCGCGGAACGTGCAGTTTGATAAATTCCCATCCCCACTTTTAATATACACACTCAGTACACCAGTAACGACCTCATGCTTATTAATCAACATCCAAGTTCACCAGTTCTGGTGTTCCTGAATTTACTTGCTTCGGCGTGCTCCAACATTGTAAAGACTCTTGTTCGAGCATAAGTTTATGTACGGGTATTGATTGCCGATTTATTATATATGGCTTGGAACTTGACATTCTCTTGCTTTAACGTACCTTCTATGATCGATCATTAATCCACAAAGCCCTGATAAGGCATCGCGACCAAACCAGGTAGCAACACTTTCTAGGGACATTTTTCTCGGACAATGAGATCACCAAGCACGACGCATGTACGCAATCGATATCAACATCCACTGAAATTCCAATCACAATACCTGACAAACAAAAATGCCTCCAAAGACCAGGGGAAGAGCAAAGGGGAAAGGCAAAGCTGCGAGTCAAAATGCAGTCCCAGATGTATATCGTGATATGCTAGAAGAGGCCATACCGTCGCAGTCAGCAGTACCCGAAAGACCTTTAAAGAGACGGAGAGTTGTTTTACGAGATGCTGTAGTTACGGCATCAGAAGCAGGGCCTTCGAAACCTTTTGTGGCGGAGTCACATGACGAAGCTAAAGATGATGAAGATGTCGAATTTGAGGATGTCATGACGGCACCAACGAGTCTCAATGGTGAAGGCCCGGAGGGGGACGTGAATGGGCCCCAGCAGACTGCATACAGAGATTCGGATGAAGAAACAGACGAGAGCGATGCAGATGTGGAAATTGACTGGGAAAATATTAATTTTAACACCAAAGACGATGAACCATCAGGAGATCTAGAATTAACCCTTACCAGACCAGAACCTCAACGTCGAACTGCTACCCCCAGACGTAAAACTCTCACTCAAGGAGACAGAAATCTTCGATTAGAGATTCATAAATTGCATCTTTTATGTTTATTGTCACATGTTCATAGAAGAAATGAATGGTGTAACGATTCTGAAGTTCAGGATTCTCTTAGACCGCTTTTGAATAGGAAAATATTGTCATTTTTGAGGCCGAGAAAGGATCTATCGCAATTCAGTCAAGCTGAATCGTTGAAAAAAGGTTTGGATATGGTGGCTGTTTTGTGGAGGACAAAGTTTCAGATTACAAAGAGGGGAATGAGGCGGGCATTGTGGGCGGATAGTGAGGACGATATTAAAAATGTAAGATTTCTTCTTACTTTTTTTTAGGAAAAAATCTGACATATTTACAGTACAAATTGCCTGAAGATGCAGATGCTTCATATGAGAGGGTAGATTTTAGGAACGCGGCGACGGTACTAAAAGGCTCTAGAGACTCAGGAGCGCAACTGTTCTGTGCATTGTTACGAAGCGTAGATGTTGAAGCCCGCTTAGTTTGTTCTTTACAACCCCTATCCTTCACCACCGGCGGCCCATCCATGCCCAAACCACCCAAGCCGAAAGTGAGACCAACCATTCCACCTCCACCCATACCCTCACCAGGACCCAGTAACTCAACCCTTCTCTCAAATCCACGCAGTCGTCTCGGACATCCCGGGGCCGCCGGCTACAGTATTCCTACAATCAATCCCGCACCTTTACCGCCACCCACCCCAAAAGCAAAACCTATTCGCGAATCTCCCTTCCCCATATTCTGGGTCGAAGTCCTCGACTCTGCTCACCAAAAATGGATTCCCATCGACCCCCTAGTCACAGAAACAATCTCTAAACCCCGCTCCTTTGAGCCACCTCTCACAGATAAAGAAAACGCGCTCTCTTATGTCCTTGCCTTTTCCTCAGATTCATCCGCACGGGACGTAACACGTCGTTACGCCAAGGCTCCCAATTCCAAAACCCGCAAACAACGCATCGAATCCATGCCCGGAGGACAAAAATGGTGGAACAAAGTCCTCTCCCACTATTCCCGTGGTTGGAAGACAGATGTGGAACAAATCGAAGATGGGGAATTGGCAGCATTAGAAGGAAGAGAACCTATGCCAAAAAATGTACAGGATTTCAAAGACCATCCGGTTTATGCACTTGAACGCCATTTGCGAAGAAATGAAGTTATTGTTGCGGAAAGAGAAAGTGGGAAAGTAGCCACTGGGAATGCGAATGCGAATGGAATCAAGAAATTAGAAAATGTATATCGTAGGAAAGACGTTCACATATGCAAAAGTGCAGATGCATGGTATCGACTTGGTCGCGAGGTAAAAATGGGCGAAGAACCCGTCAAAGTCGTACCATCTCGAAACCCACGAAAAAACGATTTTGCAGACGAAGAAGAAAGAGAAGAAAGAGCAGGCACAGCCCTCTACACACAATTACAAACTGAACTCTTCATTCCACCCCCAATAGTAAATGGTCGGGTGCCCAAAAACTCGTTCGGAAATATAGATATATATGTACCATCTATGGTTCCTAAAGGGGGCGTTCATATCTCAGCACCCGAATCTGTATATGCGGCAAAGTTGCTGGGTATAGATTTTGCAGCCGCGCTTACGGGATTTGAATTTAGAGGGAGACATGGGACGGCGGTTTTAAGGGGAATTGTGGTGGCGAAAGAGTATAGAGAGGCAGTAGAAGAGATTGTCAGGGGATTTAGGGACGAGAGGGAGAGGGAAATAGAGGAAGAAAAGAGGGAAGTGGTGTTGAGGCTTTGGAGGAAGTGGTTACTGGGGTTGAGGATCAAGGAGACGGTGGATGGGTATTTTGATGATGAGGAAGGGGAGGACGATGCTGAGGTTGATGAAGAGGATGGGGCTCACGATGAGAAGGAGGAAGCGGAGCCCGGGGTGGAGGACGGTGGATTTGTGAGAGATGACGAGGAAGAAAATGAGGGTGGATTCGTGAAGGAGGATGAAAATGATGATGGGGATGAAGGGGGTGGTTTCGTAAGAGAAGATGAGATTATGGAGAGCGATGATAGCAGTGAGCTGAGCGATACGTATACAGATGATGAATATGACGATGATATGGGTGGTGGATTTATTCCAGAATAGAATCATATATAGAGCAAGTATGATAAATTATACATTCATTACTTTTATCTAACCATCTTACAATTCCGGATCACAATCCATATGTTCTCCTAACGAATCCCACCTCGAGTGAAAGAAGTTCGTTGATCGTAGCAGTGGGTTCATAACCACAACTGCTGCAATGCGACGATTCCAAAGAAACTGGAGGCTAACTCAGACATTTCATAATAACCTTACTACGGTCGGCCTTGTGTCCCAAAACCCGGAATCCATCGCTCTCACACTACTCCTTAACCCCCATAACCCAAGTCATATATCCCGTGGGCCATGTGTGTCTCTCCCTCCCACTCAACACCTTCCACCCATTCGTATCACCGCCACTCTTCTTCATCAATACCTCCACTTCACCTGCACTCCTGGTCCTTACAGAACTTATGATTCCATCAAAAACTAGCACAAAAGGAATAATCGGTATAATATATGTGAAAAATAGATGACCAGGAGAGCGCCAGAAGTAGAAGGGAGTAATTCCAAGAATCATTATGCCCATGGCGAACATGGTTATTAGGGAGGAAATAGTGCGTTCTTGGAGCTCGAAAATACTGCACCCATGTGTTAGAAATTTCGGCAATAACAATGGGAAAAAATAACATTGAGATGAAAGCAGGGGAAAATATACCCAAAACCATCCGCAGTCTCCACCGTGTTCTTCAATATATCGCCTCCCAATTCATCACCAAAATGATGAAAAGCCAAATTATACAATCGGAAAACTTTGGTCTCGCCATGTACACCATTTGTCTCGCCGTTGACGTTCTTCAATAGATCTCTCGGCGCATTTGCTGCATCGACAGGCTCAGATATAAAATTGAGGTTCTCGCTGCGTTTCGACGCTTCTGTCCAATCGGGTATATGAGGATGTAAATCCGTTAAAACAAATTGTACTTTTCCATATCTATCATCGCCATTAACAGGGCGTGGTGAGCGCAGAGCGAGTCCGTCTATCTGATTTTTTGGCGTAGCTGCGACTTCGGCATATGAGACTTCATGGTTTGCGATTGATGAGGTCGAGGCATTGGTGGTAGAAGTAGAGGAGTGATTTAAATGTGCATTCATGTACACTTCGATATAAGGGGTGGGACCCCCGGCCCCGGCACAGAAATCGACATAAGTATAGGATGTGACGTCGTTGGAGAGCACTCGAGAGAGGGTTGTGGCGACTAGTTGGGCGGGGGAGGAGGGTTGGATGATGGGGACGCGGAAAGTCCAGCAGAGGGTTAGGCAAGATTGAACTTTTAGACGGAGGTATTGGGGAAACCTGTGAAGAGGCGTCGTTAGTTGTAGCAAGAGGTGGGATGGCGATGAAGTATCAATGAAAGATGGGAGAAGTGTGGAGCTTGGAGAGCTTGTCTTGAGCTGCAAGGGCCAACATACCAGGGTTGATCATTGATCTCAAATAAATGAAGTCGTGGACAAATGAGTACCATTTTTCCTTTTTTATTCCTCGTATCTTCAATTGGATCACAATATGTATCTCACGGTCAAAGATAAGTGCCGTCGATTGAATAATGTCGAGTTGTAACAGACGAATGATGAATGATGTTGTATCCCAAATATGAGACATGAAGCTTTATCTCTTATCCTCACAACGCTACTCAAGTAACCTAGCACTAGCCCAAAATCAGGTTCCTTCATTCCATTCTTATGCATATTGCATCACCACATTTTTCACGTTCATGATTCTTTGTCTGATGTCGTACGGAATTGAAGGAGGATGTTCATCTCGATAATTATATCAATTGTCATTGCGATTTGTTTGGGGACTTCTTTGTGTAAAGGTTCGGAGATTAAGAGAAATGGAAAGAAACTGAGGTACGTGAACGCGAACTTGGCACGAAATCACGAGGTTGCGCATCTTTTTAGTGATGATCCTACATCACATTGGAATTTTGTACGAGTGTACATTCATTCGTCCTTCGTGTTGACATCTGGCAAATCTCGCACAAATGTTTCCATCACAGTCTTTTCCCCGGTCACCTATCAAACTAATAAACTGTTCAGACGACCACCAAATACATTACCATTAGTTGGAAATGGTATCCTCTTTCTCCAAGCTCGTCACAAGCTCTTTTCCTGGTTCGTCAAGTGCGAGCGCAGATTTGGATGGGAGACATTTGAAATTTCAGTTCCTTCATTGCCACCCGGTGTTGTGATAAATGATCCGAAAAATCTCGAGTACGTTTTGAAGAATGAAGACATTTTTGCAAAAGGGGACTTCTTCAAAAGCAGATCTTGGGATTTATTTGGCAATGGAATTATCAATGCTGATGGGGATCTATGGAAAGTTCAGCGAAAAGCTGGCTTGAATTTTCTCAATGCTTCAAATCTGAAAGTTCTTACCGATGTTGCACTTCCAAAATATCTAGAGGAGACGCTGGCACAGCTTAGGAATGCAGGAAATGGCAGGACCATCGATTTGGAGGCCGTATTTCATGAATTGACTACGAAGCTTATGGGTCGAATGGCATACGATGTAAGGATTGTAACCTTCGTAGTTCAGATATGGGGCTCTCCACTGATAGTGTTAGATGGACATGCGTTCAGGTGACCCGTTCTCATTAGCTTTCGAACACGCATCCGGAGCTACCGGAGAAAGGTTTCAAAATCCCCTTTGGCCTGTCACCGAGATGGTATTTGGTGGTCGTTTCAGATCATCAATAGAAAAAGTCAAAGCCTTTGGTACTGAGATTGTATCGAATGCTGTTAAGGCCCGACAAGACAAGTCTCTGGTGAACAAGGAGCAAAAGTCCTTGGATTCTATTTCCGGCAGTTTAATCAATTCTCTCTTGGATTCAATTGACGACCATCAAATGGTAGCAGATGCAGCCCTGAATTATCTTTCTGCTGGTACGTATCACATCGAATGGCCGTGTATCCATTCTTCAGCTGATGATGCCTAGGCCGTGATACTACTGCACAAGCTTTAACGTGGGCATTTTATCTTCTAATGCGTCACCCAAGAGTCATGGACAGTGTACGTCGAGAAGCAGCCTCTCTCACTAAAGAAAGTACCCGCAAACAGTCAACGACATACAGGCCCACAATCGTCCCGTATGCTATGGCTGTTTTCTATGAAGCACTGAGACTTTATCCACCGGTGCCATTCGAAATCAAGCAATGCGAGCAAGCGACTACACTACCCGATGGAACCTTTCTTCCTAAATATGCCGTACTAGTCTGGTGTCCATGGGCAATGAACAGGTCAAGGTCAATTTGGGGTGAGGATGCTGATAATTTTAGACCCGAGAGATGGCTCGAAGACGGCGTCATAATTTCGAAGACTGCTTTTGAGTATCCAGTATTCAATGGGGGACCGCGTACTTGTCTAGGAAAGAAAATGGCAGAAGCTGTGGCTGCTCAAGTAATTGCAACATTGGTTGTCAATTTTAACTTTTCGTTGATCGACAAGAAAGAGAGAATTAGTAGGAATAGTCTTACTTTGCCCATGGAGGGTGGGCTGCCGTGTAGAGTGAGTATCATTGCCTCTGCATGAAGCACAATCCCATTCGCAGATCCTGATTGTTCAATTGTGGAAACTATCCTTTCGTTATCTTATTGACAACTTTCATTGCTCATTCAACCTCAAACATAAACCATGGATGTCCCAATCCGGGCTGAATAATATCATTCGGCGTTTGAGCTAATTTTATTTAATCCCCGAGTTTGTGATATCTTGTGCAACATTTCGATAGTCGAAGCTCTACTCCTTCTCATTGATCAATGCCATGTGAACACGAATAATTATTCGAGAAGGACCTGAGTTCGCCGGAGAAGTTTAATCAAGGATGCTCTAAATTTGTTGTTCCTTCCCTTGTTCGGCAAATCAACCAATCAGATATGCACTTATCACCAAGTCGTCAGCGTCCTGTAAGCAGATGACAAAGACAAAAGAATGGAAGTCCGCGGCCGCTTTCAGATTTAACAAACTCTGGCCATTATATGCTCTCCATATTGACATAATTCAGACATGGGTTGCGGAATGTACCCCGCGATTCTGAAGACGGACGTGTATAAATGTAAGACATGAGCCACATAATCGATCTCCATCTGCTTGACATAATCACGCATCGATACTCAAGCATGACTGCCGTACACCTCAAAACTATTAAGGCTGATGGCGTCGACATATTCTACAGAGAAGCTGGGCTCTCTGATGCTCCTACGCTCCTTCTCCTTCACGGCTTCCCTAGCTCGTCTCATCAATACCGCAATCTAATTCCTCTTCTATCTAAGAAATATCACATCTTAGCTCCAGACATCCCTGGATTTGGGTTTACTACAGTTCCCGAAAACCTCAACTACAAGTACACATTTGATTCTTTAACCACTTCCATCGAGTCTTTCTTACGTGAACTAAAAGTTCAAAAATACTCAATCTACCTCTTCAACTATGGCGGTCCAATCGGATTACGTCTTGCACTTCGTCAACCAGACGCCATACAATCAATAATCTCCCAGAATGGCAACGCATATACCGAAGGACTCGGTGGTTTCTGGGCCCCTCTTGAACAGATGTGGGCAACCAAAACAGCTGAAGAACTCGCCTCATCCAGAGAATCCCTCAAAGGAGTTATTTCCCTTGATTTTACCAAATGGCAATACGTTACCGGAACCCCAGAAGCTAATCTCCACAAAATTGCACCAGAGTCTTATACCTTAGACTATGCTCTGATGTCCCGTCCGGGAAACACGGAAATCCAACTCGATCTTTTCTACGATTATCGTACGAATATTGACTTGTATCCGGAGTTTCAGAAATTCTTTAGAGCGTCAAATGTACCGATTCTAGCGGTTTGGGGAAAGAATGATGAGATTTTTGTTCCGGCTGGGGCAGAGGGGTTCAAGAAGGATAGTAAGAATGTGGTGGTGGAGTATTTGGATGCGGGTCATTTCGCTCTGGAGACTAATGTTGAGGAGATTGCGGATGCGATTTTGAGGTTTAAGGAGAAGTTTGGACTTTGAGAGGGCGGAGAGACGGATCATTTGGGATGTTTTAGTCGAAATATCAGGCGGAAATAAATGATTAAGTTAAAGGAATGTTTGAAATCATTCGGAACAATCAGAACCTCTATTTATTAGACAATTTATTATGTTGGTTGAACTGGAAAACGATGAGAGACTCTACCTTGTCTTATTGTGAGTTTATGGTGAGTTAGTTGATAAGTAATCATCTGGTCACAATGTGCATTTCACATAATTAACGAATCTATGGGTATCACCCCAGCGGTGCACTTCCAACTTCCTTTCTAGTCTTTATCAATAACTACAATTACCAATGCCAACCTTTCTTTAGTTACTTACCTTTTGATAGAGTTATTGATCTACTCTCGAATTAAACAGAGGTTGTCTGTACACAAAATAAATCGGATCAATCGTTACCCAATCCAAATCAACAACCATCCACATCAACACCTAAACAAACCCCGAGCTACTCGCAGGCTCCATACACTACAAAGAAAGATCGGGAGTGAACAAATTAGTTAAAAAGATGACTACCAGAAATACGAGATCTCAAGGATTGCTAGAACCAGAGGCACCCTCCAGCCCATTGTCCCCCGACATACGGTTCAACGAAACCTTTAACATCAACATCGGCGGCATTAGTGAGAGGGTCGAAGCTATAGATACAGATGCCCAGGTGATTCATGGATTGTTTGCACATCGATGGATATGGGATCGTCTATATTTTTACCACCGACGAACACGAGCATTGATATTCTGTAATTTGTCAGATGACAATTTAATCGAATGTGTATAGAGAAGAAGAAAGGAACTCTGGGAAAACATACTCGGATATGTTTCCCTATGTGGTAAGAGAGCCATAGGACTTCAAGCTGGGAATGTAATGTTCAGAGCCGGCATCTGTATTATCGCATATTGACCTACAAGGACCGACTGGCGAACATTAATCTGCGATACGTTTACCAAGGATCTAAAGTCTATACTATGTTCGAACATTCAAATTAGCACCTGATCTCTGCTCGATTAGCTCGCCAATAATTAAACTTCAAACATCCAACCAATACCAAACAAAATCACATACGTAGAAACATTCCCCTTCAACGTCACAACTCCCGCACTCTTTAGCCCGGGAAATCTCAAGATCATCTTCTTAATCGAACTAGTCGTTATACTCCCCACCGTTTCTATGGTTCCCATAGACACAAAATCCAGTTTCCAGGTTGTTTGGTTTAGATCCAGACTACCCAGAAGTTGTAAATCATCAAGAAAAATAGAAGTCAAAGTAGGCGGACCAACTTCTTTGTAGATGGATATAGAGCCTGTGAAATTAATGATATTGGGGAGGGAAAATGTGCCTGGGAAGATGGAGGAGATCCGAACAGATGTGGGGAAAATATCGCAGATGAAGAGATTGGTAATCTGAGCAGGTTCGCGAAAAATGGTGGTGCTATTTGTAAAGGTACATTCTCTAGCGTGGGAGTAGGTGATAAGAGTAGCTAATGCTATTAATTTCATGAGTGAGAAGCTCATCTTGATGCCTCCTAAATAGTTGTCGTAGAATGCGGAGTGGTGAGCATATAAATGACGGAGTCACTATGAACTTTCTCAAAGTAACTCCAACTGCATCAAAATGATAGGAGGTGATTTACCTTTTACACCAATGTCTCTTGGCCGCCAAAGTCCACACGTCACACACATACTACACTGATCAGAAAGCTTGACTCCCAGCCCTGAGGCACAGTACTCATTCCTGTTATCAAAATCTCAGAACCCCAGAGCCCACGAAACATAAAACCAGACACCAACTTTCCCACCTGCATAACGAAAACAAAACTCCCTCCTCAGTCTTCCAAATTTTCTAAAGTTGTGATAATATTGCAACAGCAAACCAAACAATTAGACTTTGCCTCTTCCTCCATCATCAAACGCCAACAATCTGCTCTCGCTTAACTTAAGACTCTAGTGTCATCGAAGATGAAACGATTCTAGGCGAAAGAAATTGTGGCTGTGCTACTTGAGCTGACTCTATTGGTTTTTTGGTAATTTATTATGAAACATATAGGATGGACTTTATGTAGACGTAGTGGGAGCTAAGAAGAAGAGCGACGTTTGATATGTGGTCCTTTCCATTAACGGAGGAAATGGCGGGCGGAATTTTCACAACCTAAAATCTAAGTGTGTATGGCTCTGAGTGGCTATCTGTAGATACAGACGCGTTCAGGTTAGTTGTTCTGCCACTCAATATCTTGGCTTCCTTATTTTCTCGTTTAAATATCGACTTTCGTGGCAACAAGATGGCACAGCGACTCGATGGTCATCCATGCGTGAATAAAGATATCCTCCATCATTGTTGATTGCTCAGCTCGGTCTCGGCCATTGTCGCCATCCTAAATAACACAAAATTACTCAATCCAAAGATATCAGACGTCAAGCTTCCTGGCCACCGATATTGCATTACGGAGAACTAGTGGCATATTGGAATTGCTGGATGTGTTCCTTTTCCATTGTTCATGTTCTCTTGGGCCGTTTTGAGGAATTTTCCATCAGTACCTCAGCATTATCTCAAGTAAATAGACTTGGTTTGAGGAGCATATTTTGACAAACCAAGTATCTTCGTATAGAACAATCTGATAAGAGAATGATTATTGTCTTTCACTCCGAGTAGCTGAGAGGGAATAAACGGTGACGCAAACAGGTCAAAATCCCGGAACAATCTTAATCAAAAATGCATATCTCGACCGAGTCTTGGACAATACCACTTTTCCTTTCCGTAAACCTGCTTTCTACTTCTAGTGAGCTTCTACTGATGCGTAGCCATTTTCGACATAGATCTATCACTGAAGTAAGCATAGATATACAATCCAGTGCCATTACCAACCTGAAGACGATACCGCATTAAAGAACTTGACTTGGTGATTTCCAAGCAAAGGACGATCATGATAGAGAATAAGTTCGAGTGTTCCAGTCTGTATTACGAAAGATAGCTTGTGTCTCGATAGTTTTCGCACTATTCTGCCCATATATATTGCACCTGAAAGCTAGGTTGCTATGTTGATAACTGCCAAGTTTCAGATGGACCTAAAGCTTTGTTGAACTCGGCTTTGACCTTGCAGCAGAATCAGCACTCGTCTGATAGGTCTGACAAAAATGGTGAGGTGACAGGACGGTTTTTATTTTGCCTGCCACCCTTAAAAAATTTATCAGAAGATATCCAGGTCGGAAAATGAAGTCCAACTTTACCATCCTTTGGGCACATAGAAAGAGTACTCACAGGCCATGCGTCATCTAATTAGAGACTCTGCGCACAAGTCTAACACAATAAACCATTTTCTGTACTGGCAGTGATTTCGTCACTTCCAGAACATTCCTGTCGCCTCAAGTCCATGATTATTTCAAGCTCATTTTCTCAGCTAGTTGACGATAAAGCACACTTACGACATGAAAGTTTTGTGACCGAAGACGAGGAATGATGTAACACATGACTGTCAGTCAGCAGATAAAAATCCCAGTCTCTGTAGCGCTCTTGAAGATACGCGCTGTCCTTCCATCTCGGTTACATCTCGGAAACATTGTTTTTTTAGAGAATAACTCATTAGAAAACGGGATGTGTGGAATACTTTCGCGGAGATATCTTATTGTTAACCTTGTGGACAGATAACCCGACATCAAATCATCAAATAGAACTATATATTGAGAGCTATATTGAGAGCACCTAGATTTCAATAATTCGTAATTGAATTAATTCCTAGTCAGGGACATATGAACATTGATATCGAGTGTTAGAGTTGATATTGGATATTGGCAAGAGAGTACAGTTTCGATGTCCCTCTTTCTCGTTCTGTAACCCCCCTCCCCCTCCTTCCCACAAGCCCTTACCTGATATGGCAATTTAACTCATCTATCACGTGAAAGCATTATGATTTGATTGAGTTTGACTTCAGTATCCAATAGGATGAATAATATATTCTCTTTGATAAGTTTGAATCTCTTTATCTTAGTTTCATCATTTATATAATTAAACAGTAGACTCTTATTTTATTATAAGAGTTATCGAACATACTTACCGCACAGCGTGAGGTTTTATAACATAATCCCTACAAAATTCATATTTTCCTATATAAACTAAAATCTTATATAATTTATACAATTATTGATATTAATTTATAAAAACTTTGTAATGAATAATTTGAATTATTATTTATATATAAAAATTTCTAATTTATTTTTAAATATTTTTGTTGAAAAATTATATAAGCTTTTAATTGAAAAAGTTTAGAATTTTTAATTTGTAACACTTTTCCTATACAAAATAAGCGAATTTTTCGAATTTTTTCGAATTTTCAACTTTAACCTTTCAAAAATGCTATTATAAAAATATTTAAAAATAAATAATATATTTTTTTGAGTAATTTAAGTAATTTTAAGTCTTTCTATAATACTATATTCAATTTTATCTAATACTTTCATAAATAAACCAGAGTATAAAAAGCTGAATAATCGTATATTTTAGCCGGAAAAGCGTTACATGTGCGGTGAGTAGGTTCCAGAACTCTTATGATCCATTCTCTTATAAAGGCTCTAAAGATACGGGTACATATCACACCCCTTGAATCACAAGCTTGTAAATCGGGGGCTATGATTGTTTTACCTCCATCGTACCCAATCGTATCAAGAATTTCATTTACGCAATTATGAAATACTCCCCTCGGACTAACTCCACTCCATCCGTTTAAACCAAACAACAAAACTCACCAACCAAGCTCCCCTCGCTATCTCCCCCTTTTTCTCAGTTTCCTCCCTCCACGTCGTTCAGTATCAACACCTCCTGGTCGTCTTCCTTCTACCCTACTTGGCCTTCCTCTCTTCGTACCCACGTTGATATCTCCTCCACCAACTTGTTCCGGATATCTTCTCTCTTGTTTTATTCTCGTTTCGCTTCCTCCATGTCGACGGACGTATCCACTAACTTTTATATTCTCCTGCGATTCCTTATCCTTAGGTTGAATTCCTTCTGCTTGTCCTTCTCCGGTGCTTAGTTTGCTTTCGGGTGAGCCGGTATCATCTCCCACTTCAGGTCTCCGAACACCCTCATCAGCCACATTCATTTGGTCTACTTCTTGCTCTCCTATCCTTTCATCCACCCTTTTCTCTGTCTTCCCATCACCAATTCCTGGCATTCTGTCTGGTGTCCTCGTATCCCTCTCTCCAACCCTCAAATTCTCACCCAAATTTAGATATCCTTTCTTCCCCCCTCTTTCCCTCTCCCTCTCTCTCCTCATTCTCATCGCAGCAGCCAATCTCAACCCTTGTTGCCTTTTTCTCTGTCTGTATGTTTCTTTTCTCCCTCTTCTATCTCTACCACGACTATCTCCACGTCCATGCACTTTCTCTATTTCTGCTTTGAGTCGTCTCACTTGCTCTCTCAGTTCCCCCTTTTCCACTTCTGTTTTGAGTCGTTTCACTTCCTTTTTCAGTTCCTCCTCTAATTCTGCTTTGAGTAGTCTCACCTCTCTCTTTTTTTCTTCTTCTCTCTTTTTTTCTTCTTCTCTCTTTTTTTCTTCTTCTCTCTTTTTTTCTTCTTCTCTCTGTTTCTCTTCCTCTCTCTGTTTCTCTTCCTCTCCTACTTCTAGTTTGCGTAGTCTCAATTTCTCTCTTAATTCCTCTTCCTCACCTCCTTGCCCAACTTCCGCTGTCAGTTTCCCATCAACACTAATACCATCACCCTCACTCGTCTCTCTTCCCGTCTCTACGTTCAAGTCTTTCTCAGTCTCCTTCTTCTCCGGATCCACATCAACATCCACATCCATTCCCACTTCCTCCACATCCATTCCCACTTCCTCCACAATCTCACTTCCCCTATCTCCCAGATCCTCATGTCCCCTACTCAATCTCTCCCCTTCCAAATTTTCCAAACCAGACGAATCCCTATCTCTCTCCCCCGAACCTAAACTCAAACTCAGACCAGACCCCACCATCGGCGTAACTGGCGGCGTAACCACAATCTTCGGCACCTCGCTCTCCTGCCCCTCAAAATCCCGCAACGCCATCCCTAACTTAAAATCAAACCCCCTCTTCCCCTTCACACTGGGCGAGAACGGCGGCGTAGAAAGCTGATTAGTCACCGGGCTCAACGGTGCACTCTGTGGTAAAGGTGGCGGAAAATTAAGTCCAAATGCTACTTGCAACGCTTTTCTATTCGGACTATCACCAGGCCACACACAAAAAACAACCTTCCGAATCCTTTTTCTTCGTGCGGCGCCAAAAATAGGATGGCGTAGAAAATCTCTCACAGTACCTACAGCAATACGGGCAGCGAGACGATAGGGGAAGGATTTGTGACCTGTGGAGATGGCGGGGAAGGCAATGATTATACCTGCTGGTTTGGGAGAGGATTGCGCAATATGATGCTTCGAAGGGTCATGGGAAATCAAAGGGACGGATGTGGATGATATGGATGATGGGAGTAGTATTGGCGGAATCGATGAAATCGACGGAATAGATGTACTTGGCAGAATAGACGGAGACGGAATGGGCGAAACACCAAACGCATCTAAATCCACATGTTTTGGACTCGCCAGACTTGCTGGACCACTCACACTCCCTGCCATATTAATGGTGCCGAAACTTCCTATTCCTCTTTTCCTTGGTATCTCCGGTGTTGTCTCCTGCTCTGCTGACATATTCTCATCCGTGTTTGGCTCTGTATCCGCCATAATCGTATCTTCGCCTGTACTGGTGGAGAATACTGAATTCTCATCTATTTTTTTCACTTCAATATCTGAAGCAATTTCCTTCTCCTTCTCCCTCTCCTCCTCCTCCTCTTGTTTTTCATCTCCTCCCTTTATCCTCTCTCTCTTCTCCTCCTTCTCCTCCCTCTCTGCAATCCCCATAGCCTCCACCAGCGCCCCCCGATAACAATTAACTAACAACTGTTTCACCAACGGCGTACTATACGCTTTATCCGCAAAATTCGGCGCATGCGTATGAATAATGTATTTCGGTCTCTCATATTCCTCCTCTCTCATTCTCATTCTCACTTTCCCATTTTTCTTCCCTTCGCCAATCTTTGCTTCAGCACCATTACCCAATCCAAAACTCCCACTCACTCCACACGCTCCTGCATTCAATCCTTCTTTCCAATTCTTTTCTCTCCACTTCGCCAGATCCTCCCCGGCGGTTTTATCGATCAGGCCTGGGAGACTTATTTGTGGTATCCCTGTACCAATAGTCATACCCATCCTTGAAGGCGAGTCCACGAGCCCGGAATCCACGAGTCCAGAATCCGCAACCCCAGTCATCGAACCCTTCGCGCGCATAAGCGGATACGCAGCCGGAGATTGAGAAATCGGATTTACGATCGCGGTGCAGGGATAGGAGAGGAGGGAGACGAGACGTAGTTCGAGTGGAACGAGGGGGTCGGAGGAGGAGGAGAGGAGGAGGCCTTGGGAGAGGGGGAGGGGGGTTGAGGTTGAGATTGTGGTTGTGGTTGTGGTTGTGGGTTTGGAGGGGGAGGGGGAGGGAGAGGAAAAGGGGGATTTTATGAGGAAGGGGTTGGGGGTTCGTGAGGACATTTTTGTTTGTTGAGAGGGTGTGGGTAATGGGTAGGATAGGATAGGATAAAATAGAAAGTGTAAAATATAACGAAGAACGATATGATATACTAATCAACTCCAAAGCTCAATCCGCACATCTCATCCCTTGAAAAAGTAATCTTCGAGAAATAACAGAACACTCCCGGCTACACTCTTCAATACCTTGTTTAAATCAAAGCACCATATACACCCAGAGATCAGTAGTATACGTATACAGCCCACGACCACTCTTTCACAACCCTCCTTCCAAATCCCCATCCCCATCCTCATCCTCATCCTCATCCTCATCTCCCTCCTTTCTTTCTCTCATTCTTTCATTCTTTGTACCCCAACCCCCTACAGCTAGGTAGCAAAACCAACACTAGTGGCACACAGACAAAGACGCATTTCTGACACGCGGGGATATGATGGGTGGAACCGGAAGGAATTGACAAAGATTTTCTCTTGGCGCTTTTTTTTGTCATGATGCTGTGGTATGTAACTGGAGGATGAATGTGAGGAATTGAGGAATTGGTGAGAAGAATGATGGTGATGATGACCTCGAGGAAAAGGTATTTTTTGCAGGATACCGAAACTGTGGAGGGAGGTCTGAAATCAAAACTAATGGTTTTGGGTTTGGATTGAACGGGCCGGGCCAGGGTTGTAGATTTAAATCATTAGATATAAGTGACTGTTGAATCGATTTTGATTCTCGAAATAACATGGATATTATTGAGATTTTGTTCATCGAGAAAGATCAATCACCAATTTGGCGGAGCCGCATGCCCCTATAATCACAATCGCATCAGTAACCAATACTAGGTATTCAATATGATACAAGATTATTTATATGTTTGAGAATCGATATATATTAAAAAAAAAGTATACCAGAATCGAATGCTGTGGTATCATAACTCCAATCCCCTGACACCAATCCTCTGATGAATAATCCGTACAATCCAAGTGCTGATGTCCTGATTCCCATTTTATGCACAGTGTCCATTTATTCCATTATACCCAATCCCATTAATGTTTGATATTTATTTTTGCTCCGTCGAATAATATCGATCGATTACTGAAACTTTTCCCCCCTGATCTTTTGCGACGCGATGGTAAATTGTCGCAAAGTGGTCGGAATGCGATTGAGTGGTTTCTCCTATAACCCACACCCACATCCATCAATCGCGCTGGATTTATCGTTCCGCTGTACTCAACACCAAACCGTCCAATGCACCCTCTAACCATTTCCCCAATTCCTCTGCTTGTCTTCTCATACCGCTAATACCCACTCCACCTCCTCTCGCACTCCTCAAACTCGCCGTCTCGCTCCCTTCTCCACTCCTGATAACTTCCCTCTCGTGCCCTCCATCTGGTGACGCTGGTTGCGATATCGAAATCAACCCCCCTTCTCTTTGAATCTGCGGTGTGGTGGTTCCTGATGCACCGGGTGTTGGTCCGATCGCGACGAATAATAATCCACAAGCTAATAGTCGTATCACCATGATGCCCAATTCCATTTGTATCAATATACTTTTTGTTTCTCGAGATTTGGGAGTGCGACCATTGGATGCTTCGCCATTGAGAGGAAGCGCGTCCGATACGGTTTGCGCCGGAAAGGGTGAGTAGAGTGTCCAGAGTGAGAGGGCGAGAGTACCTTGATGACGCAGTACTGAGGCTGGAGAACTGGAAGAGGTACTCAGAAGCTTGCCGGTGGGCGTCAGCAGCATTAGTGTATGCAGATGTGGTGATATGTTGTTCTGTAGGAAGGTGGATATTCTTTTGCTCAGGAGCATGGTTTGACTTTGTGGTGGATGGGACGTCATGGTTATTATTTGATCTGGTCTGGTTATATTTTGTTCTATTGAATGAGATATTGTTAGTAGAGATTTCTCGTATGAGATTGATTATCTTTGTCTTCCAAGGTTTGTAGAGATGGAAAATATCAATAGGATTAATTCAGGACAATACATACAATATTATGAATCAGCTGTAGTGAAAGTAATTGAGTGAGCAACCTTACAATAGGATAATAATAATAATAAAAAGAAGTGAATTGCAATTCTGAGCTGATAAGAGGTTGTTCAATGGCTCGGCAGCATGGGCGGGGAAGGTCTGAGTAGTTTATAGGTAGCTGTAGATGATCTCGGTAAAGTCTAGGCCATGAAGATTCATGGTTACAACTTCGAATTTATATTCATGGCAGCAAGAGGGTGGAAGGTAGGATTTTACTATTTTGTAACTCATCATGACTCAATACAATACTCATTGTTTCCACAGAAAAGTTGGAGTTTGTGAATATGAAACTTGTATGTATGAATAGACTCATATAAAAATGTCAACACTGGTGTATCAAGTATAGTACCATGAATTCTATGGACAGACATTTGAATTCATACTTTTGGAACCACATCTCACGCCCATCTATTTGAAATGATCTAATCTGTATATTATATCAAACAGTAGAGAATACCTATGTATACGTTTGAAGAAGCGACTCTGCCTCCACGGCAGTGGCCCCCGGAGGGCCAGCGGAGCGTCATTTCCATTCATTAATCGGTTTAATTATGGGGGCAAGCCCCCAAACCCCCATAGCTCGCTGCGCTCGATTATATATGTCATGAAGATTGAATTCATGATTGGTTTTGATTTCCAGAGTTTGTATATAAGGTTTGAATATACTTTTATTACTACGTTATACACTTACTATTGAGAAGTATACATACCAGACAATCTACTAGATGGTACTAAAATGTGTCGGTCACATTTAGCACCCACAAATCGATAATTGATGATTTATGTGTCTAGTATAAATACCCAAGTACTTTTCTCTACTCAAGTACTAGGTATTCAATTATTCTACTGAGATCTTTCTTATATGAAATTTACAATATAGAACACTACTTTATTATTTAATATCATTTAATCTTTAATTATTCTCCCTTCTTTGCAGGATCCTTTAGATAATTCACAAATTCTCGACAGTATCAATTTCGACGGTAATTACGACAAGCACAGACAGACAGACAGACATCATCGACATCGGCAAACATGACGATTCTTGAAAATTGGATGGAAAGGTATACGCCCGAGACCCCTTCATTACATTATCTCTTATTTCCATTGGCATTTTATACCTTATGGATGTTTGGATTTAAATATATCATGGTGGTGGTAGTTGAAGAGCTTAGCGATCTCATGGAAGTTTTCGAAGAAGAGCTCTTTTATTAGCCCACCAGTGGCCTAAAGGTTAAAAGGGGAAATAACTTTCATATGAGCTTGAGGCTTGGGTGATGGTAAGGTCCAGAACATCTTTGCGTAGCAGGTGTGAGTAAGCGTATGAGAAGGTCATCTACCTAGATATACATACGAACTTGAGTGTGTGTAGGTAATCTTTTGATAGGATTACTAGGTATTTGAACTCACTCACCTGTGCAAAGGAGAAAATCCGGTCCCCTTTGATGTACAAAGTAGTCGGTACCGAAATACTCTCTCCTCTCTAAATGCTGCAGCTCGGATATATGCTCAATCCATAGCTTTCCATCGGACAAGATATCATTTGCTTAGAAATATTATATTGGACCTTTCACAATCCCCCCCACGTCATAATTCCCTAGACTAGACTAGGTAGCCGAAGAGAGGGGCGTGGGAACATCATTATTGTCGAAGTATTTTTGTACCCCTCTTCAATATAAATTGTCTCTATCCATTCATAACAACGTCAACTACTCTCGCCTTTCATTCTATGTACTCCTTTCGCAATCTAAACAGACTCATCAAACCAAGTTATTTACGACAAAGTATTGTAGATTCAGGTACGTTCTCCATAGCGCTATCGAGGCTACATCAATCAGCCCAATCACTCCTCTCAATCCCACCTTGTACAGTTTGCTAATACTCAAGTACTTTTACAGCAAGTAGATCATACGCAACAATGGCTACCAATACCAACACCTATAAGTTTAATCACTCGATGTACGAATTCAAAATAAACATTAACATCTTTTACAATTGGATGATGCTAATCCGCCAAAAGGATTCGAGTGAAAGATCCTAAGGAATCTGGTAAGTTTGTACCTCAAATACATGCACTCAAATAGTTACAAGACCTAACTATCTATCCAGTCAAATTCTACGAACACTTGGGCATGAAAATGATTCGCAAGATTGAACAACCCGAAGCTAAATTCGACCTTTACTTCATGGGTTACGATTCCCCCAAAGCTCTCTCGCACGGAAACCATTTCAGCGATCGCGAAGGATTGATCGAATTGACACACAACTATGGAACTGAGAATGATGCCGATTATAAAGTCTCCAACGGAAACACTGAACCCCACAAAGGTTTTGGGCATACCTGCATATCTGTCGACAATCTTCAAGCAGCTTGTCAACGAATTGAAGATGCAGGATATAAATTTCAAAAGAAATTATCCGATGGACGTATGAAGCACATTGCGTTTGCATTGGATCCAGATAATTATTGGGTTGAGATCATTGGGCAAAGTCCTATTGAACAGACTGAGAACATCACAACTACTGATACCGAGACATATCGAATGGTACTCTTTCCTTTCCTCTACAAAACGACATCTGGGTAACTAACAAAATTGTAGAACCACACCATGATTCGTGTCAAGGATAAAGAAAAGTCATTGAAGTTCTACCAAGAAATTATGGGAATGTCACTCATGCGAACAGCTGAAAACCCAGGTGCTAACTTCAATCTTTACTTCCTTGGGTATCCTGGAGAAAAGGGTCTTCCTACATCATCAACTACATCCAATCGCGAAGGTTTGTTGGAATTGACCTGGAACTACGGTACAGAGAAAGAAGAAAACTTCAAATACCATAACGGTAATGATGAGCCACAAGGCTTTGGTCACATCTGTAAGTTATCTAGTGATTTCTTCTCCGCATATGGGCTAGACTAATTTGATGATAGGCGTGTCGGTTGATAATTTAGATGCAGCATGCGAGAGATTTGAGAAAATGGGAGTTAA